AATCTGTTTCGTTTTAAAAAATAAACGAGGGTATAGTGAAAAGCGTACGCATGAGCATTCCATTCATTTACTACATAGAACAAAAGTGAATATGACATTCAAATAAATCAATGTTGTAAACTAGTTACATGGTTCTATTTTCATAAGTCATAAGTGTTTATTCTCACTTATCTCTTTCACGGACCAATAAAGAGTTACGAAACAATACTGGATATAGAACAAAGAGTGGTTAGTGAGCCGTTGTCATGCCAATACATCACAATAATTATCCCGGTGTCTATATATGTATCAGTGGTGGCCTGGTGGTAACGTCACCAAATTATCACCCCGGCGATGTGTGTTCGAATCCCACCACCAGCGTCTGACTTTCTCCATTGTGTTCTGAATGACAGCCCTTTGATTTGCCGCTTCCTGAAAATTGTATCTTTATGTAAATTCAATAAAAAGGGGTAAAATGAAAAAGAAAAGAAAAGAAAGAAGATGAAAGAACCAAACGATTCTGTTGGGAAAGGCAGAGTTAATATCATAGGTTACTTGGGGCTAATTTCTTCCTCCGACCGGATATCGGTTTATGAATTATCACAACCGAGTCATAAACCCGGAGGCTGGTGCTGAGATGAGCGAGGTCCGTGGCCCACAACAAGCTCGCAAAGGTTGTGCTATATCATGCAAATGGAAAAATGAACAACGGTTTGATCGGCTGCCCGGTGGTTGGGTGGATAGCATGCTTGCGTTATGCCTGTGAGGTCTCGTGTTCGATCCCTAGTTGGGTCGCACTGCTGATGAAACCCAACGGGGTGGAAATAGCTGTCCAATGCTTACTAGCTTTTCAATTCATGCTTCATTTGCTATACTTACGAAGAATTTCCCCATTGAGACCATATACTTGTTAGGTCATCCAATCATTGGAATATGTGGTGTGTGGGTGGACCAGGGTAGATTGAACCTATTGTTTTTTGGGCACACAGAAAGGGGTTGTGCAGACAAACTCCGCTGTTGGAAGCGCACGAAAAGGAATTTACATCGATAGTCGAGCACACACCCGATGCAGGGGGCGGAATGCCTCAGTTGCATTCAGTGTGATTTGTTTCCACTAGGTGTGAAACCACTACCCTAATGAGTGACCTAATCATCAATGCAAAAAGAAGACAAATGTCGCGAGATGTTAACGTTTCGTTCAATCTTCTCAGTCGTCTACTTAAAACAAACAAGCATAAAGATAAAGCACATGGCGTTATTCAGTTATCGTGAATGAACGTGTACAAGCATACAAAGATTACTAAATTTTGCAGTAGAAGATCAACTAAACGGTAAGTGGATGGATTGTATCAAAACGTTTTGTGTGCACAAGGTTGGGTGATTCAATCGAATAAGCAGTGCTTCACGAACTGCCAAAAGTTTAGCATTGCGATTAGGTAATAGTGGTTTGAAAGATGAATTAGGGTCAGTTGTGTGTCTTATTGCCATGAGATATTTTGCAACAGATGACCCTGGATTTCTTATAATCACTGGGACATCAATTATTGGTTGCGTCATCGATTTCACCAACCACTTTGGAATATGTTCAGCCATCCGTTACGAGAGCTGACGGTTCGTCCTGCCGACTTATGCGTCACCGGAACTGCAGATGAACTAGTATACAGTGCGTGAGACAGAACCGGTTTATCGGCGATGTCCACGTTTGCTCAACTCAAGCGGAGGCTGTGAGTCTGAGTTGAGCAGCTGGGAATGTACGGTCTAGAGCTGACCTCAACTTCTGGCGCACATCATTATAAATGTGGTCACCTTTGAAAGCAAGCTTGACGTTTTGGGCTGGGTTAACTTTTGGGGATGGTCTACTGTGAATATCTATGAACCTTTCTGTGTAACCATTATTTAGCAATGTTCTTCTTAGGAAATCCTCTTCTTCCTTCAGTGTATCTGGAGAGCAATTCTCACACGATGAAATAGGGTTCTCAAAAGCCCACGTTTGTAAGGCACGGAGGAAATCTGTAGGAAAAAGTGTAGGTTTTACTCGTTCCATATCGCTTTTCGGTAGACTGAGTTTTGAAGTATTCCATTTATAAATGGCATTTCGCCCTTTAGTCACGACGTGAACAAAACAATGAGCTTCGCTGTATAGAAGGTCTTAATAACGGCATCGGATAGTCTCCTTTTTATTACCTCCGCTTGCGTATCCCCTCTTGAATGATGAGGAAATGTTAATGGACTTCTTTCTGGCCTCGGTCTCCTTCGCCGGCCTTTCCTGATAGCCATTATGCGAAGATAGTACGTAAGCACCGGAGCTCTTCTTCGATTATATCCTCATTATAAATCTTTCTTACCCTGCCGACTCGGCAGTAGACCAAATTCCTCTTCATTGTGAGCGGTATAAAGCTACGAAAATGGATTTATTGACCCTTCCAAGCCGCCTTCCTACGCACTGATTGTTGCACCGAATCATTTGATCTACGACTCAGACAGACTTCTAGAAATGGCAGTTTGTTGTCGTTTTTTGTTTCTAAAGTGAATCTAATGTTATGATGAGCAGTATTGAAATTACTCCATGGATCGTTTGTTCTTGATGTCGTGTTGATCACGCACAGAATATCATCCCCCTATCGTGTGTGTAGCACACAATCCTGAATGGAAGAGTTGAGTTGGTTATTTTCGAGTTTCGCCATGAACACATTTGCAAACAGCCGTCCTAGTGATGATCCCATGGCCTCATCATCTTTTTGGAGATAAATTTACTCCTTGAACTTAAATTGGAAATTGTATGTGCAAAAAAGCGGTTGTTTCAGGTCTTCCAAAAGGTATTCGATGGTTTCGCCGTTGGAAACATTGTTGAAGAGCGAACTAACGCCCAATAAGAGCACTGCCCGACCCATCAAGCTTAAGTCAGGAATGCTGTTTAACAAAGTGAACGGGTCTCGCACGCCGTTTCGTAATCCAACTCTAATGGGCTCTAGTAATTTAGCCAATCATTTGGCAAGTGTATGGGATGGTGAATTGCACATTTCCAGAATCGGTTGCAAGGGTACCCCTTCCTTGTGCACCTTCGGCAACCGGTACAATCTGGAATCGTTGCCCCAGTTGGCCGGATCCGTTCGAAAGTGGTCGCATCGATGACTCCAGTTTGCTTTAAACATCTGAAAACCTTAGATAATGCAACCTCTGAGCGGTTTTATCCTTTTCAGTTGTTTTAGTGAATCTTGACTTGACATTCAGTATGGCTTTCATCCCTTCTACATAATCCGTTCCATTTAGAAGTACGATCCCCACCCCTTTGTCCGGCTTGAATATCCTGATTTNTTCTGCAGATCTCTAATTCGTTTCAAGTGCTCCGGTGGTTTTACTCGGGTTGGTTTTCCGCTCATACTCTGATGCTGATAGCATGCATTGACGAAGGTTGATTTCAACTTTTTTAACTCTAATGTTCACGAGGGAACGAGGTCGTACAGTTGTGCATATAGATTTTCCAGTTCCACCTCTAAAACAAGTTGCTTAGATCTGCCATTATGACAACAAACCTTTGGTCGTATAGTTAATACTTCTACCAACATTTTGTCCAGGTTTATGGATGATGATCAATAAGAATCCCATATCAAGTCCGAAGACGAAATTAGTGTCCATGATTTTAATTCCTTCTATCCCAAAACAATTGTTTGGATTTTAAAGTTGGATATTGATACATACATAAACATCATGATATTTATTGCAATGTATCGGCATGACTGCGAATCACTGACAACAAACAAGTTCACTACTCTTTGTTCTATTTGAAGTGGGCCCTTTGGGACTATTTAGCCAATAATATATATATATATATATATATATATCGATATTGTGAAAAGTTCCGTAGCCTCGGTGAATAACATACATGGTATAAAAAATAAAAAATAAACGTCATTTTCGATGGAATAGCTCAACAGATGACGATGTTGTGATGATTTGATCACGTTAAAACAATAACGGTTGGGCGTTTACAATTACCTTCATGGGGACATATGAGTTCAAGGTTTGAGCCCCAGTACTATCTTTCAACATTGATGATAGGTAGTTCTGCTGTCATACGGTTTTATCCTACCCCTATTGCACTACGTTACTGTCTACTTCTGATCCTAGAACCTAGGGAGGTCTTTTTCTGTTACTGATTACAATACAGTGCAAACTTAAAAATTCCGAATCTCGTGAGCCTTAGGACTGCTAACTTTTCACCAATGGAAACGTGGATGACTAACAATTTGATGCCTTAACACCTTACTAACTTCGAAAGACATTCAATAGAAAAGAGGGTAAAATGGCAGTTACACGGGTGAAGCAGAGTCGCATCGTAATAGAAGACTTAGAATAGCAAACTTCATGAAATTCGGCAGAATAATATCTTTCTTTCACATTAAAATATGTATTTAACATCGGCTTGTATACAAGCATGGTGCCAACACCACAACAATAATAACAATAAAAAATGGGGGGTAGGTGGATTGGGATACAGAACAAAGTGGAAAGATGGAGAAACAGTTAAACACGGGGAAATGGTAGATAAAGAGAAACATGTATATGTATACTCACTCTGAATCGGATTGGAATGCATGTTGCATAGCTATCACAGCTGGCGGTTTGCATGTGATCTGATCCACAGGTCCAGTTAGGGGACCGACGTTGCACATGAAGGTTCTAAAATCGGATTAGATCAGATCAGATCAGCAGGATTTCTAACATAGGGGTAGCAATTGCTTCAGATTATCTAACTCCACTGCGAAACCATTCGGAGAAAGCAGTTCTTTCTTGAGCTAATCTACTGTCCAAGGTGATCAGAATATTACTGTCAAGTAAACTTATGCAAGTAAATTCTCTCACATGCTTACTCCATCTCTGTGAATATCAGGGACCTACCTAATAACTTCGTCATTATCTCTGTCTTTTGGGCTCTTTTAATAGCCCATTTTGTTCAGCTCGCCAACCTAGAGCATATTCCGCAAGGTTTCGCATCAGATGCAAATTAATGCTCACCGTCCCTTTTCGGTTGACCCAAAGAAATTCAACCGAACTGTGACAGAATCATTGGCTTTAATGAAAGACAAGCCCGTGAATCAGAATGCATTTTATTGTTTTTATGTCGATTGTGAAAAGTTCGGTAACCTAGGTGTCTATATGTCTTGCTAACTGTCCATATGTGATAGGGTCACATCTGTTAGTTTAGCCCTAGCTTACCTGATGGCGCCCATGAGCGATGTTCAATCTTATTGAAACTAAGAATGTGTGGTTGACTTTCATTACAAATATCTCTACATGCGCATTGGGTTATATCAATTTGTATGCATATTCTACCGGATCGGCTACCACCTCAAACAAGTTTCTTCATGAATAAGAAAAGTTCTTCGATGCCCCCTCGATTCTTATGAAGTTATAATGCATGCTGATTCTTAGCATTTTTTAATTTGTGCTCAATGCATTTTGGCTCGATGCAACAACTTTAGTACCTTAAACACATAAGTTAACTTGATCAGTCAGCTGACTAACTAATACACGCTGATCGAACCTAAGCAAGTGTTAGCCGATGTTGCCCCAGACCGTAAAATAGTCAGAGATGTGGACGGCTCATATATATGAAGTAAGCATACGGCTATCTGGATTGGGAGCAAGTGTGTACGTTTAGTAGCGGCAGTATATCTACACAGAATCACCGAATTCGAGAGGACTTGATTCTAGTGTATCAGATGATGCAGAATCCTGATCACTCATGTCGTTCACTATTCGCCTTCTCACCCAACACTCACCCCAAGGGCACTTATTCAAAGTAGTGCTCCAAAAATGTCGACTAGATTCCTGCTGTCATTCATTTGCCCTCGTGGTGTGCAGTATATGGATTTCTCCACCGTTTCATGTTGTTTCTGCATCCACAATTGACTATTACAAGCAGAAACTGGATGATATATATGAAGTAAGCATACGGCTATCTGGATTGGGAGCAAGTGTGTACGTTTAGTAGCGGCAGTATATCTACACAGAATCACCGAATTCGAGAGGACTTGATTCTAGTGTATCAGATGATGCAGAATCCTGATCACTCATGTCGTTCACTATTCGCCTTCTCACCCAACACTCACCCCAAGGGCACTTATTCAAAGTAGTGCTCCAAAAATGTCGACTAGATTCCTGCTGTCATTCATTTGCCCTCGTGGTGTGCAGTATATGGATTTCTCCACCGTTTCATGTTGTTTCTGCATCCACAATTGACTATTACAAGCAGAAACTGGATGAAACGTTGTCCGGTCTTAAATTTTGATATCCGTGCAGGAAACGAGGAAAAATTGTAACATTCCTTATATTTCCATGAACAGCAAATCGATTAATTTGTCTTGTATTAAACCCTTGACATTGGCATGATTTTCTCTTTTAAAAGAATCGACCGAAACATGGTAGTGGTACTATGAATTCAATAACTATAAAGCTACAGCAACTAAAGAATGCTTTGTACTATTCCCGTGAACATCCTTCTTTTTTGTTGAGTACCAACTTTCTTCGAATGCTACAAAATGATTTCCTGGANATATAGCAATTTTTCATTTGATGATGGAAATATACTCCAACTAGTTTTGTACTATTGCTTATAACTGGCGGACGCGTTTACCGCACACGTCTTTGACATGATTGTTTGAATGACTAATTGATGGACTGATAGATCGAATGACAGGCTGATTCATTGATTTGATTTCATTCATTGGTTGGTTGGTTAATTAATTAATTGACTGACCGATGCGACCTGATAAAATCAACGCACGCACGTCGACTTACGCACTGACAATATTGCTCTACTCCAACTGTTCAGCACTGAAATGTTTGCTGTGATTGATTCGTAGCTTGCTTGACTGTTCAAATCGACCCCCCACCCAATAGAATGTAGTCACCCATTCTTATGGTCAACCCGCTTGCCTGCTAGTGCATGTACACGTTTAGGAATGTACCTATATAGTTACTCTTTTGATTGCCGGTGATAAAAGACAGAGTTACTTGCGTTTTTCAACAGTCGCAAAACACAACAATGAGGATGTGGGCAGGTAATTTAATCTTGGGCAACATCACCCGGTCAATGACTTATGTGAACTTGTTTCTCAAATGGTTGTTTGGCAGACTGATATCTTTGTTTGAAATTGTGAAAAGTTCATTAATCTTGGTGGGATTTGACCGCACGCATGGATGTAGCCTACACCTTTGTACGGTGCACTCTCTAACAGCTGAGCTACGAAGCCAGACAGACAACACTAATCTTTTCACATTCGGATCACCCATCCAACTCACAGAGACATATGGCAACCACCAGTTAGCAAGTAAGCTGAGTGCCATAATAGGTCTTCCTTAGAATTCACCGGAATCCACCGAATGAACACCTGCGGCAAGGTTAATTATTTTAATGACTGTTTGGCCGATTGAAGTCTTTGGTTGAAATCGTCAAAATTTCACTGACCTTATTTAGTTCCGTGAACTGAAAGCAGAATGTTAGCGCTACGTGAAATAGTGGCAAAAAGGACGGTGACTGATTGCTGTCTTATGATATTTCATCCAAATATCAGTCACAAAATAGGTGATATATCAAAACATCATGAGTAGCCTATACCGACAGTTTTACAATGTCAACTGGGATACACTCACACGTCTGGTCTGCGCCACGGTATGCCAAGTTGCTGTTCGTTGATCACGCGACTGGCTTCCAGTAATTTGTTTGCTAACTTTTTCAAGGCTTCTTCATTCATAATCCAAATTTCTCGAAAGTTTTTGTGCTCAGCTTCGATAAGCAACCTGAATATTGAATATTGAAATCACTTGTTCTGAATTAGGATTGATGTGAATTTATTACGCTCTAGAAAATGTTCGGGAGCAAAGAATGTACTTAAGAAACACAATGTAAAGATAACAAAACTATTCAGAAGCAATAATCCTTGGATACTTTTCATCAGAATCATTTATTGTTCTTTCGTTTCATTGACAATCTATCGATGTTTTTCTGCCGTTGGCATTCGTACGGTGCTGTTTATTGATTTCTTATATAATCAAGCAGGCCTTAGTTTTCCCAGTCTCTGAACATGCAGACGCACACACACCGCTCGCTCCAGACCTCAACAACACCAGTTCCTTTGTGACCTTCATTATCCTCCACTGACCTTTCTTGTTTTTTATTTTTACTTCCTTTTATTAAATATACAATGACGCAATTTTCAGGAATCGGCAATTACCGCCGTACAACAAATCGAAAAAATCTAGCGGTGGTGGTGGGATTCGGACACTCGTCCCCCGGGATGATAGTTTGGTGGCGCTATCACCGAGGCACCACCGCCACCACCGATGTTGCTTCTGTACCAGTCCACCGTTTATCATTTATTACCCACGCATATGTGATCTGATCCGATCGCTCCTAGTGTGCCACCTACCCACACACACACACACATACGTACCTGCACGCCTATCGCTGTTTGATGCGAGGTCGAATTGTGTCCAACTTTCTTCTGAATAACTTACCACTTGGGAGCTTCATGTCGTTCTTTGGCTGGAATTATTTTGATTAATTCGTATACTTTGGTCATTTCTCTCCTAACGCAGTGTTTACAGTTCAACTCTACGCATGCTGGGCACATGACTAACGATTCTCAACCAGAATGAAAAGGCTGGTGAGTCTAAACTAAACTATTTTAAGATTCAAGAAATCGATCTGGCAAACAAGCTCGTTTTCGGTACCTCATTTACTAGCCAAATACACCGCTCTTTTATGGGTCACAAAATCACATAATTCAAGGAAATAGAATAAGCGTAAATAATGTCTGTGTTTGTATGCATGTGTATGGATACCATGGATTATACAGTAAGGAGTGTATGAGAGTCCAAATCATTCTGCAAATGTCATTTGTACTGTCGAATGAATCAAATACATAAACGGTCTGACACTCATTTGATAACTGCCTTTATGTCACTCCAGCGTTTGTGGCTGGTCACGGTAGATCCAGAGCTCTGACCGACTGTTTGTGAACGATCCAAGATTATTTCACTGGTAGAACACACTTCACGAAATTTCTTGGAAAAATTTCTGACTCGCTATCAGTCAAATCAGGGGGAACAATACTGCCTCCTTTTTCTTTTATCTTTGTATATTCAAGACCTACCCACTGACCTAGATGATCTTATCAAGCATGCTGATGATGTTACCAAATTCCTAAGTGATTTCCTTTTCTCGCGGCTTCAAAGCAGTTTATTTGCCTTAAGCTTATGACCTTGATATTCAAACTTATCTGTAAATGTAAGGATATCAACTTCTCACTAGCCGAAGGAGAACGGCTTCATTCTTTTGAAATGAATAGTTCTGTGTTCTAGGTTGACAACGCCAAATACGTTCTCTGCAACACCTCGGTGTTACTATCTGCCCAAATCTCATTTGGACTTCACATTCAAACTTTACTTTTAAAACGATCCGACGATTGTGCCTCTTTATTTCTCGCTTGAGATCTTTAGAAGTTCCACCGTATTTATTTATTCTATTACTACATTCTTGATACTCATTTTCTTTACTGCACCCCAGTTTTATTAGTCGGTCTTAGAGTTAAAGACTACACTATTCTACACCAGTCTATTAAAATTATTTCGCTCACAAGTAGTATTCCCTATTTGCAATTGCTTAACTTTATCACCGACAATCATTTCACTTCTTGAGAAAACTTCTGCAAAAATATTCTATCAGGCGTCACTCACCCATTACACACAGAACTTAAACAATTTGTATCCACTTCTGCAACTAGGTGTCGTTATAAGCTTGTATATACTCGTAGCCCTGCCTACCATTTGTCCCATATCATTCGAGATTTCTGGCACAAAACGTGTCCGTTAGAGAAACCGTTTTTAAATTCTCAAGTAAATGATATCCATTCACAGATTTTTTATGCCACACTGCTCTTGAATTTACGATGCTGTATTTTACTTTTTCTCGGTGACTGTATACGATGATGCATGATCCCGGGAGTGGAAGGAGTTGAAAATTCAGCCATTTAGATGAACAAGGCCATTTGTGACTTGACTTGGTTTGGTCTGAACCAAATTCAGTTATGCCTTGACTGCAGCTCGCCCATTCCTGACTCAATCCCCCCCCCACCGAAACTGAACGAAACAGAACACAGTCGATTCGTTTGATGAAAAGTATTGTTGCTTAAGTGATATTGACAAATTACATGGCATTACAGCAGACATTTTTTCACAAGGTACCGGCTGGTGTAAAGACTGAGCATAAAAGTAATGACCACGTGGGTACTCTAATAATAAACTGTGGTTATATCTCGGCAGAAATACCAGATAATTCGACGGAAATGAACATCAGCATTTTTATATTATATTTCTTCATAAGGTCAGTTACAGTCAGTCAGGTAGACTAGCTGATAAATGGTATGATCTTTGCATCACTTCAATACAAAAGAAAGATAGCAACCAGAACCGGCGCACGATGGTGCATGATTAAACTGAAACTGAAACTATTGCTTTACCTTCCGTACTACTCAAGACTTTTGAGGGAACTCCTATTGAGGTTCTTCCTTGTTCTGTTGATTCTCGTGATTCTAACCAGTTCGCCTATTGTTAGCGTTGCTCTAGTGTAGATGCAGTTGTTGTCTTTCACAATCCCGTTTATCCATGGTCGACCAAAAACACAAAACTGATCATGTTTGCTTTTTGGGCTATATAAACACTTAACACAAACAATTTAACCCAGTTAATAGAAACACCCTATTCACACCGTTACAGCAACAAAACCTCCCGCTACATTTGTTGAATTGGATGACTATTGCATGACTATTTTACTAACCAACTCCAGTTCACATGTCTTAACGGTATTAGGTCTTTCACGGTCAATGCAAACCAAGTTGTTATCGCATTTAAGGATACCGATGATGTAGTGGTTGGTAATGCATAATACAGCATCATTTTCATCAACCCCTTTCAAGTAGCCGTAATTACCATTTCTGCACGGCCTTATGGTGATAAACTTCCTTATATCGAACCAAATGCATTAAAGTTTTGTTTTTATTCATGGCAGGTCATTCGGGATCACCTTTGCTCATTATTTTAGTTAACAACTCAAACGTACAGCGCTTCAACTCTGATTGAGGGTCCAAGTTCAGAACGTTGCATCTTTCAAAAACTTCAAGATTTTAGAAGCAAGAATTTCTTATAAAATTACGTAGCAACCATTAGACTATCATAGCTTTTTATGCAAGACCTTTGGATATAGCTACCAGATAATAAATCGTCATATTTTCCCAACCGTTTTGAGGCCACAGACTATTGCGAAACATGTATTTTGCAAATGGGTAACCATTCCTTTGTGATGTTATCAGACCCATGTTTATTTAGATGAACATAAAGAACACCTACTTGTATTTTTATCAGCGGTTGTAATGAAGCAAACAAGTGAGTAAGTAAATAAGTATGTAGGGAAGTAAGTAAGTAAGTAAGATGATGGAAGGTATTCGGAAACAGTCTCACTGAGTGTTTGGGGTCAACCGAGAAGCTCCATTTTAATGTTTTACGAGTATGCATATAAACTGTTTGTGAATGTCACACGAACCAAGCGCAATGTGTACCAGTTGCTTTCATAACTGACTGTTCCATGAACTTCATTCACTATTCTGTTAAACTGATTAACCCTTCTCGATCTCGCTGAAGGAGACTGGGATCATCATCGCTCAAACCCCTCTTGACTTTATCCCTAATGAAGCTCCATGTGTTCCATAGCATTGAGCATTTTCGAACATGGTGGCATCCTCAGCAATATGCATGCTCCAGTAATTCTACGCCCCCCTCCCCCTCCCCCTCTAAATGGACGATTCACTTTGTGCCCCGATCCAACTGTTACTCTTGCAGTGGTCTAAATGATTGTGGTACGCTCCGGTGAACGAGATATCGTCCCAGCAACTGCGCTGATCGCACATGATCACGTAAGTGCATGGCTCGGAGTGCACCGTGGGCACAAAACTCTTCCCCGGTAGTAGTTACTGTGGTAAACTTTAGTTATTGAGCTATCGTCAAAAGCATCAGTATGATCGGGGGTGGGTGTCTAGGGTTGCAGCTGATAACCTTTCGTTTGAATCTCGCTAAATGTTCCCATACGACCAAGCGTTCCAAATAGCCTCTGCTGAGGAAACCCTATTCAATGCATTCTCGTGGTGGAGGTGTTTTCCCACCAAAGTGAGAGGACGAACAGCCGACATCCGGGGATATAACCGGGTTGGTGGACCATTGGCAGTTCACCTAGGGGAGTTAGCCAAAAACCTTGATTCCGAACCAACCATGAGGAGGCGTACCAAACACACACACACACACACACCTTTTCGGTTGTGGCAGTGGTCACGGCTCGATTGGGCATTGAAGCGTATTGGGCACCTTGGACGTTTGACCCCGCCCGAAGGGTGTATAATCCAATGAACTCGACACCAGCTCCCAGTGGATTGCGGTTTTCACACCGCCCCGCTGGCGTGCGGGTCAGGTTTTGGCTAGCCAAAGGCTCCGGTTGTGGATACCTCAAGACAATTCACCTACCTTGGCCTAGACAACCTGGCGGTATTTAGCCCACAAACCAATAATGGAGCGTTTTTCTGTTTTATAAAGATTATTGTACCATGATTTGCCTTTCCTCAGACGAGTGTGAAATGTAATAATAATAATAATAATAATAATAATAATAATATCGTCAATGTCCGAGCAACTACAAACAGTATTACGTTAGCTGAAGTGCGCATGAAAAAGTGCGTCACTTCATGCTTGTTGAGTTTCGTCCAGCTTAGTTGTCTCACGCAAATCGCACGGCATCACTGACCCACCGAATCGACGTCCGTCATGACAAGATGCACACAGAAAGAGCATGGGAAAACTGGAAGACCGGAGGAAGATTGATTGACCAATGAGGTGCGCCTAGCGGAAGCGGCTCCGACCACAGCTTTTGTTTCTCAATTCACAATTCACAATTACAGTTTCCTATTCAAAGTGATGGTTTTGCAAATCGAATTGATAGTATCTCAGATGCACCCAAAAATAATATATGTATACCTGTTCAACTTTAAGTGAATCCGTTGTAACTGCAAGTGAATCCAACCAATCGCATTCCATTAGGAACCTAACAAAACGCTTGGCTATTCTGCCGTCACATGTCGCCGGTTGGACCGGGTCTATCGAAACCCCGTCCGTTCGGAGTAAACTGATTTCTACATAGACAAGCATAAGTACTTTTTGAGCCAGGATGAAAGTATCGGTGGGGTGGGATTTGAGTGTTCGCCTCCCGCCTGCCCCCTCGTCCCATCCGAGTACGTTATGGCTTTGACGATTGATCGTGTGAACTTTAGCCGAGAATGAACAAACCCGGTGGTAATTGGTCTCGGTCGACCAAGTAAGAAAGGAAATTACGCCAAAACGAATCAATAAATCGCTCACCATGCTCAGGCGTGAATGAATCATCACATGAGTGGGTTCAGTCTAGGCCCTCAGTAACCTAGTGTGTAAATTCCGTTGAGGCAGAGTTCCCCTTGAACAACAACGATTGAAAGGCATTTAAAGGCACACTTGACGAGAGAATTAACAATGGTATAAGGACACAATGAAAGAATAGCAAGATTAAATTCGAACTTATTCAATAATTAACAGAAATTGCTTTTTTCCCTTTTACTCCCGGATTGACCATAACGTTCTATCCAAAATGCCAATGGTAACAACCTGTCAGATACAGCTTCTTCCTTTGTTACTCAGCTTCGTCGCATACTTCATCAGACTTGCTACATCATTTATCATCCGCGTCGCATCTTTTCACAGCCTGAACACATCTGTGTGATCTCTATAGTTAACTGAATGGGATGTGTGCCGGTAAGAATAACTCACAATCATCCATGATTCCACCAAGGATGATGGTTTTGTACCGAGTGCTTCAAGGTATATTCAGTAGAGATTAGGACAGTAATCAACCCACGGTTGTCTTAATATTGATCGGCGACCTTCTTGTAAGTGAAGAACAGTTGCCTCCATGGTGTAACCCTGCTTTAATCTCTTTACTCAGACTTATCACAGGGACACAACTCATACAACTCAGACTGGCTACAGTATATTTCGGTATCGTGTATCAACGAAGGCATTTGCAATTCATTAGAACACAGGTTAGCAAAAGAGTTAGTTTTCGATGGTAATTCAACAGGGTCTATTGAGTGACAAAGTTACACAACTTCAGTGGGTGGATGTGCATAACAATGTACATGGAGTCCAAGAACCTTGTCTAGCAGAGCAGCCAACATCGTATCTAGAAGCAAGCAGCTACAAACAATTAACGCGAGTTGTGCAGTGCGTTCGAAAAATGGATGAAAAATTTATATTCCTTCTCTTTAATGAGCAGTAAACTTCATGGAAACGTCACTGTATCTAATAGAAAAACAGCGCTGAGAAAGAAGAAAGTGTTCAGATGAGTACAGTAGTAGCTGGTATGAACAGCCCTCCACTATGTGAGCAGAAATAGTTTGCCAGATCTCCTATATTCCCGTGAGCATGTGTCCACAGTGCCTTCATTTACAATTCCCTCTAAAAATTAACATTATCCTGATAGCTGTCGCCAGTTATGTCTCCATCATCCACCTTTCCGCTCCCTCCTCCTATTTAAATCACGAACTGACCTCCTAAATTTCTGCCTCTGCACGGTGTTCCCTGAGTTGCCTGCTGTGCTTAATTGACACACTGCCAAGAGCCGCCGCATGAATTTCAGTTGCACTTGAGTTAGGTAGACAGTAATAGTCAAACTGTTGAAAATCTTATAACCGTAAAATTTTAGTAAATAATTATGCGACTACCGTTATCAGTGAACTGACACATTGTAAACTTCATTCTTTACGGGTGAGCTGAGAAAATGATCAAATTACAGACGAAAATCTTTTGCTAGTACGGAAAATTCCAATGAAGTAAGTACTGGTATAGCTTTTGTAACCCTGATCGGTTCCAGATACTAGATTGTCATATTCTAGTGGTATGAAAACCAAAAATGCTCAGAATTATGAAGTTGATGCTTTAAAACTATGTGCAATCTAAAGTTAATTTCATTCAAGTTTGCTCTCTTCGTCTCAAACATTACACTATTTTAGACGGCAGATTCCAAACTTGACTCGTTTCTGTTCGGTTTATTATTTTTTCTCCAATCCAGAAGAATTCGCTAAGAGACACATTTAGCCCTTCAGACGCGTACCGAAGGTGTACGATTTGTCCAGTTATGCCATAGAAGAGTTTGAAATTCAAGTTATCAGTCGACCTGAGTGAAAATTCAATATGACGGGGCATTTGAAACAGTATCAATCCAGTACCTCCTATCTTCATCCTTATACAGATTACTATAAGGATGAAAACTTGAATGGTTGTCCCAAGTTCACATGTTCAAGCTGTTTAGACAGTGAAACTGCCTCAGGGGTGGGCGCAGATAAAGTAAACTGATATGGTCAGCCGATGCGGTAGAGTCGGACTATGCACGCACACCTTTCGAAGCAATCTAGCCCGAGAGGAAACGACGGAAAGTAAGCTTAGTGATGATTCGGTACCACATCGTTCAGTTTCCCCAATCAATAGAAAAATCAGAAGCATATGTTTTGTCTAATCTTCACGTGCAGTCAACAATATCTCGTTTTGGCGTTGTTTTGAGCACCATTCGGCTTCCTCCGCTGTGGATTGGCGAATACCATAACGGCGCGGTGCAGTATATGATTGCCGAGAATGCTCACCGTGGGCCCAACCCTGAAGCACACACACACGCACACACACACATAACCATATGAAATCGTATGCATGCCTTTGACACCGCCGCGAACTAGCTCCTCTCCAACTAATGTGACACCTTAGCAGCACATAAAACGATCGGACAGCTGATTGAACACAATCACCCGTGATTGAATATGGGGATACTTGACTCACTTGGACTTCTTTTGTAGGTCTTTGAAATTTTCCATTCGTTTCTTGTAATCTTCTGAAAGCTGTTCATTTTCCAGACTGAAAACAAGACAAAGAACCAAGTAAACTATGCTGTGTAATCAGCAAGAAACTTCTCAAACTGAATTGACTGCATGATAATGAGAATAGATATACAAATGGTTCGTTCCAGTGAACTCCTGTTCATTTATTTCAACCTTAAACTAGACAGAGTGGAATCAGACCGGAGAGGTTCATGTTGGTCGCATTTCAACAAGCATGTAACTTAGAAGAATTGAACAGGTGAATGGTGAATTATCTAATTTAATAATTTAATAACCTTACTGCGCATTTTTCGATCTTAAACCTTTTGTCACAAAATAGAAAATTTGTTTTTTAATATGATACTGAACGTGTTTATTAACTTGATTCAATCCCAGCCTTTACTTGGGGGGTTGGGAGAATTTTTTGCTGTTCTATACGAACTGACCATCTGGATGCCCATTGTCCTCAAAATCTTGGACAAGTGTTTTTGTCCAATTATCCTTCCCGTTATACAAGTGACACTAAAGACTTATGTCAACCAGAATAACATACACACTGTCGGATAAGCAGATGCCTTCCTGGTGATGAGCGACGGTTTGTACACGCTTTTGAATGCCCAATTTACCCAAAAATCGTGCGTTTTTCATTTTGAGTTTCAAATCACGTGCGACTAGGAGTTTTGGATCAAATTGTTATCTGGTTTCTTCCTATATGCACATGTTCATACGTTGCGTTAGTTTGGGAATAAGCATGATGTTAACGCAACAAGATAAAACAAAACGACGAAATCGGTGATGATGGTGGTGATGAAGGTATTGCTTGAGTTACGCGCATACATGCAGTAACCTCCATAGTCTGATAGAATGTTCAAATTTCTCAGCTCGGTTTAACGACCCGGTCAGGCTGAACCATTTTTCACAATCTAATCACCTCAAATGACCTCTGACATGAAAGGCGCTTAAAGCCAAACATTTGGATAGATATTCAAATGTAAACTATTGCAGCTTCTGTTGTTTAGCGTGGCCTCGTAGTTCAGCTGGTACAGCGTCCGCTGTACAAAAATCTAGATGGTGCCAATTCTGGCACTGAACCTTGCATAATTCAAAACAAATAATAACTACAATTAGTAAGTAGTTTGATTATTATGTAAAATTGCTTATGTACAGTTACGGAATAACTGCATCTATGAGTTCGAAGGTTGAACGCATGAATTTACCTGGTCGCGTCTTCGGAACTAATGTGGAAGCAATACTAACTTATGATGGTTTAAACCTCACACCGGTGTGCAACGCTTGGTTAAATGGAAACTTCCGAACGACAAAACAAAACTTAAACTTGAGCCTCGAAATGAAATCCTATGTAAAGTTTGCGTATACACGCAACATCGGTATCGAATTCAAGGCATCAACATGTAAACTTGTATCCCTTCGTCTTTAAATTCGGTTTCCATACTACCTTTGATATCAACGACTCCATATAACTCGAATAAGAAGTATCTTGATGTCACCCTTCAAGGGCGTCGTCCGTGGCTAATCTGTTTGTTAAATAGAGCCTAAGACAAATTTAAACCCATTCTGGTTCAACATTGGTTATCTGTCTGAATTTGCCCCCACGCTGAGTACACTATCCAAAAGTGAAATCCATGGCTGCATGCGGATCGTAAGATTTTGGAACGTTCAAGATGAATGGCCACCAATAAGATCAGAGAACTGTATTCCAAGATCACCCAAGATCGTCGGTTTCGAGAAGATACGATTTTGGTTTATCAAATAGTGCAACGTCTTGATCATTCACGTCGTTCACCGTTCACCATGTCTCCTAACAGTCACCCCAGGATGAATTCACTCAAGTTAATGCGCCAAAAAGAACCACTCGAATTTTTAAGTCAATCTTTTAACCTCAGAATTTGTGGTATTTGGAATGCCCTACCCACTCACGTTGTTTCTGCGCCCATAATTTATTGTTTCAAGCAGAGACTGGATGGATCATTATTGCGTTATGAATTTCGAAATTCATAACAGCACCCGAAACAGTGAAATTCTAAAATTCTTCATCTCTCTTTGCTCGGTCAATCGATTCAGATGTGCTAAAAGCTCAGTAGGACATGAAAAGTAACCGATTGTAAGTATATTATATTATTATATTTCACACTCGTCTAAGGCAGACTGTGTCAAACAATAAACATTATGAAAAGAAAAACGTTCCACGATTTGCATTTCGCCCGAATACTGCCAGGTTGCCCAGGCCAAGGTAGGTGAATTGTCTTGAGGTATCCACAACCGGAGCCTTTGGCTAGCCAAAACCTGACCCGCACGCCAGCGGGGCGGTGTGAAAACCGCAATCCACTGGGAGCTGGTGTCGAGTTCATTGGATTATACACCCTTCGGGCGGGGTCAAACGTCCAAGGTGCCCAATACGCTTCAATGCCCAATCGAGCCGTGACCACTGCCACAACCGAAAAGGTGTGTGTGTGTGTGTGTGTTTGGTACGCCTCCTCATGGTTGGTTTGGAATCAAGGTTTTTGGCTAACTCCCCTAGGTGAACTGCCAATGGTCCACCAACCCGGTTATATCCCCGGATGTCGGCTGTTCGTCCTCTCACTTTGGTGGGAAAACACCTCCACCACGAGAATGCATTGAATAGGGTTTCCTCAGCAGAGGCTATTTGGAACGCTTGGTCGTATGGGAACATTTAGCGAGATTCAAACGAAAGGTTATCAGCTGCAACCCTGAACGCCCCCCTCCTCCCCCAGTAATAAAACTTTAACTTTTATCTTCATTTGGTTTTCTTCATTTTCTTTTTTACTTTCTTTTATTGAATATTCAAAGATACAGTTGTCCGGAAGGGGCAGCCTCCAGTCAAAGCGCTGGCATACAACACATAATGGGGAACAACAGGCGGCTTACAAAACACGCAGCGTACCAGTGCATTATTAACATTTCCAAACAATGAGAGTTTGTTATCAACATGCCACAAGTAGAACTGATTTTATTATGCGGAGTTAAAAAGTTGAGTGATTGCTAAGTGTTCCATAAATATATTAGTAAGTACTGAGCCAAGTAGATTATCCATCACCACATCATCTGTTTATCTGTACAGCTTTCTATGGAACGAGAATCGTCAGTAATTCGTGCAAAATAGCAGCTCACACCAGAGAGAATACCTTTTGAAATTTCCATTTGATCGACACATCGGCCCATTATATTCATCTGTAATCGTGTGTATAAAGGGAGCACACATTTTAAGTCAGCCATATAATCACCAGAAACTTTTGGATTTCCAAAACATTTTTAAAAGCTCATGGGAGAACCTTCCAAACCGTAGACTGACAGTTTATCTCAGATAGATTTGATTGGCTCAGCTAGAAAACCAGCAACAGTTTCTGATGTGAGGCACCGGCTGTTGTGGACCAACCTCTTTGGGAATTTTAAGAGAACCGCCTATTCGGGGAAGTCGCTATTAGAAAAGTGCATGAGATGAAACTCTGTTTCGTTATCACGAAAGGCTTCGAATTCACTCGTCCTAACTCCTTGTTTATTGCTTTTCACATTTTTTGTTGAAATTCTACTCTTGGCGTGATCCGTTTGAGACGAATAGACATCGGAAGGAATTTAGCCTAACAACTCCTTAACAATATATCAGCGCTTTGCATATTGTGATTTTTGCCATCCACATAATAGATGTTTTTCTTTTTTCAACTTGTAACAGCGTATCTACGCTTGGCTTCTCCTATTCTCGGTTGATCATCTCACAGTTATTTTGGCCTACTCTAATAGGATAAGAACAGAATGATCCAGTAACTATCTATTTTGCTCAGTTTTGGAATATGAGTTCAGTGTGTTTATAGGATGAATAACATGTGTTGTCTTATTGTTGTGTGCTGCGTATTCCCCATTTCCAGTTCCGTGTGAATTCGGTATGCAGAATGAAGTTTCAACTGGGGGCCGTTACATCGTTGTTACCACAAACTTCCCGTTCTGGAGCACGACAGCCTCCATCTCCAGAGAGAGCATGATTGGTGACTGAACGCTCCAAGGGGATTTTCTTACCCAAACCATTAGTGTATACATCTCAGCGACCTATGAGCAACAGATGTAGACACATGGAAAACCGATCCATTAATGGAAAACTGTGCGAGTGTGTGTGTGTGTGTGTGTGTGTGTGTGTATGCACACATGTGTATATCACACCTGTTGCGCACGACTCCAAGTACAGCCCGAGGAAACATTACTTCGAGTCCAAAAGTAACACAAATATGAAGCACTCACCAGTATTGCTTTTCCTGCTTAATCGCCTTATTGTGCAAATTGTTTAACAAATCTTGCATTCGAGTAATTTTCCTCTTCTGATTTGATTTCGTGATCATATTCTCTTCATCGCGTCTCTTCAACACTTGGAAATTATATTCCAATTTTTCCAGATTCAGTTGATAAGTGGCCTTTAATTTGAGCAATTGCAATTCCAGGGTCTTCATGGGGATTGAAAACAAAAAAAAAACACAAAGAGGAACGTTATACAACAGTGGTATTGAGTTCGATCTGTACAGTGTGATACTAGAAATCAGTAAGCAAACGAGTTGAGTATATCATATTCAGAATATATATATATATCACTAACATACGAGCAAGGTTTGTGCCAGCGCAAACAACAAGACTAACAGAACATGAGGGGGTCGGCGTATATAACAGAATAAAAGGGGGTCAGGCAGATAAGTTGAATGACGAGAATAATATTTTTTTTCACCGTACACTTTTCGCTATGTTTTACAATGCGATCGGAGTTGAACAGAGTGGTGCAAATGCCATTAGAACTAACTTATTCAAAAAAACTGTGTAACAGCCTGTTGGCCGAAAATGTGTGAGCTAAACAGAAATAGATTTATGCACCACAAATGGTCGTTGTTCAGTTCTCACACTAGTCTGACACTAGCTAAGATCAATCAAGTACATAAATATCGGTGCTGATGAAATTTTGTGTCAGCCGGATTCTATAATTAACAAAGAAACAATCCCAGACCACACTGGAAAAACACTATCCTAATGAACCAGCTCAATCCAGATCGTGGAATAATGGGTACAGTAAAGTATATCTGAAGCCAGAGTGTTCAAGAGCATCGGGAGCCCATCTATAATAAATATAATTATCCACATCCCCTGAGCAGCTCGTGAGTTATTCAGATCGTCCTCGTGATACAGCAGCAGGTGGATGGGTGTACCACATTTGAAGATGAGTTATCTTTGCTTTTAGCGACGTCCACGTCTGTAGCAAATCAATAAATAAATCGGTAAGAGTTCTCACCAGTTGCCTCACCTTATCCTTTACCGGCTAGTTTTGCTGTTGGATCTATTCTTCCTTTTAGTTCCTTACCTTGGACAAAACTAGTTCAATCCAATCCAGTCTCATGCAACTTCATGCAGGTCCACCAAAATACTAGTTACCTGTCGTAGATCGGAAGTTAATAGGTTGTGATACTTTCATGTCACCAGTGTTTCCGACGTTTTCACTTATATACGTACAATTTGTTGAATGTATATCTCCAATGTGCCACATCGCTTTTGCATTATTCTATACTTTTTCTCAGATTTGTCATTGATCAACCACATCAAACTGTTTTCAATGTTTGTAATGATCAAAACCTTCCTATCCGGATCACATTCACACGAAATAAACGAAGAGACAAATGTACAAGAGAATACACAAACACTAAAACTCGCTGTCACTCTATTTGATATCCTAACCACCCCGTTTTGTTATTATTGTTGTTACGTTGGTACCATGCTTATTTGAAAGCATATATATGTATACATATGAAAACTCAAAAAGATTTACGTTGTGGCCCTGGCGAACCTTTAGTCAGCGGCCGATCGGGTTCTATCACACCCACACACACACCTGCCCATCCTACACACGTGTTCACATTCGTTGCTTCAGTCATGTGACACACAACACTACGCACGCACACTGTGACCAGTCATGCGACGCCGACACGCACTAGGACAATGCAACCAGTCATATGACCATACACGTACTTACCGCGCCTGTCACCTCACCACTCTGACCCATTCGCGCATTCATGATCCCAGCCAATCAATGTGCTTGACCTTGTGACATTAGCCCGTTAGTCTGGGTGATTAGGGTCCCACACAATCGATTGCGCACCGGACTATTACATACGACCTCTGTGGATTATATTACATTGTCTATTTACGCGGACTCGGGAAATCTTGATGTGAGTATTTACCCTTTCACTATCGATGTACACCAATGGCCTATTTACGTGTACTAAATGTTAGTTATTTATTTCTTACAGAACCGCATTGATATTCATATGCGTATCCCGTACGATAAGGTGCTTACGTTTTGCTCAACTCAACTGGGATTGTGAATAATCAATCGAGTAATCAGACCGAGATAAGATTTACGTTAAAGGAGATCCACGGAGCTAACTATATATATGCGAGCACCGCCCGCTGCTGGTTAAGACATCCGGACACAAGACACAATGACATCGGAGATTGCTATCTGCCAACGGAAACCGGAGACACGTTACTTTGTTGATATTGATCAAGAGCTCCGCATCATTTATCGCACGCCCTCAACACTACCAAAACAACTCCGGTTTATCATCTTATGCATGCCCGAGGCGAACACTATACCAACATACGATCCCTTACTCGGTAATCAGAAGCAGTTCATTCTGGCCTTAGCTTTATCATGACCGCGGATGAAGAAAGTCAATAATACATCCACGGGGTGGCATCAATGATCCAGTCGAGATCGGGAACAGGTGAACAAACATAATAAACTCTCTGGACAAAGTTTGATGCGATCAAAAACAAGACAGACGAACACAAATCACCCGTACATAGTTTTGATGGATATTTGATAAATTCTTAAAAAACCGCTCTCGGAGTTTGTTTTCAATGTGATGAAGGGCATTTTTCTAAATGTGACAGATCAAAATCACAAAGGATATAAATCTGATAGCTTAGCGAATTAATTATGATTTTTGCAGCCAAAACCTTGTTGTCAGCTTCCATCAAGTTTCTAGAGGTTAAGCTGGAAATTTTTTGTGAAAATCCGGACGACTGCAAACAACAAACGTTACGAAGATAAGCAAAATAATTTACGGCTTATATTTCGATTTTTCGTGAATCATAAAAAGATATACTTATGACAACATAAACCGACATTTGGGGCTACCAGAAGGACTTCTATCCTGTTTCCGTGTGTCAAAGCCAAAGTCAAAAGTTTTATTATGGGACGTACTTACATCTCTCGTCCCCATAGAATATTGACACAGTTGTATCGTTGCACAGATTACTTTGGTTGGAGCATGTGTAATGCATGTCATGTTAGTGGGGGAACAAAGCCAAGGATGGTCAACCTAGCACGAGGGTATGAAAACCATATCCAGGGGACTGGGGACATAGGTCCCTTAAGTCTCCCTGGCTGGGGACCTCAGAATGATCGTAACCTTTGGTTAGAGACACTGAGTGATATGGCTGTGTCGTAAGCAATGGCGTTTGTGCATCGTCTCAATTTCTTTTCAACCTTAGACCACTGAAATTCTCCAGTTTCAATTCCGCTCTACTTTCAATCTTTCTGTCTTTCTCCTACGATTCATCCAAATGGGCACCCAAAAGACAGCAACCAAAATCAGCGCACGTAATTGCATGGTTAATGGTTGTACAAATTGAACTGAACTGATCGTTTCTCAGCAAAACAATGAAAACCTTTCACAGATAGTTCAAGATAGATAACAGATAATACGGTTTACATCCAATTAGCGTTTATTTATTTGTGTAGGAATGTGAAATGTTCCAAGGTTTCATCGAGTCTCCGCTTGTAAGATCCAACAGTTGGTGCACAAACGACGTGAGATGGAAGGGTGCTCAGAGTATAGCACACTCTGACTGCAAAACATTTACGCAGCTATTGCGATCAACACTTTGGGATCAAAAACGTGAAACGATGTTCCCTAAAGTGCATGTTGGATGGCAATGTGTGGGGCAGTTGAAATGGATGGTTTGCGTTCTGCTGTGCTCGATCCGCCAAAATCGCCTCGAATTCGGCGTTACTGAGCAGAATATGGTCCCAGTGATCATAATCTCTTCTCACAGGTGAGGCAGTTTAATACTTTGACCATCGTGGTGGCAATCTTATGCGAACGCTCCAGCATCTTAAGATCATGTTGCAATCATGAATTCCAAGCTTGGGTACCATCTTAATGCTTTAGGTATGTTAATTTGTTGTAAATAAAATTGTTCTATTCTGTTTAGTTAGCCCTTAACTCATCAGGGCCTAGGTCAACCACTGATGAAGTGGGAGTATCCGCTACATTCTGAACCATTCCATCTGTTGAGTATAAATGCAGCAGGAAAATCACTGTTATAAAGACTCAGCAAGGCTTGTTTATTATTATTTGGAAAGAAATTTACTTCAGTAGAATGCCTATACGAACCCACAAGGGTTTCACAGGGACCCGTTGCTTCAGTTTCGATTAGATCTGTATACCTTAGTCCTCACATGAGGTATGTGGTGATTTCTGAGAAAACACGAAAATCTCCTGTGATGTAGGGATAGGAATTTACATTCCAAAACTGAGTTAAGTGTTTCTTGAAGTGATAGCGAGTCCTCGGGTTTTGTTACTGTATCCCAGATTTTCGTGTCGTCTGCAAACAGTAATTTTTATCCTAACACGTTCGGTAGACCATTTATGAAAGCGATTAAAGTCAGGGACCGAATACAGACCCTTGTGGCACACCGCGGGCGACGTTAATAGATCCGTATCGGGAATCAAACACTAACTGGCATGGTCCGTTGTCGGAGGAATGTTCTAATCAAACCAAACACGAAATCTCGAATGCCGTGTTTTCAGATCTTCTGTAACAAATGTTTTTGGTTTTACTAGATCAAGCGCTTCTGAGAAGACAAGATAAATCACATCCATTGCATTCGTCGAATAGTTTAGTTCATTCATTTCAAGCGAGAAGCAAGTTGGTGGAACAGGATCGCTTTTGCTTGAACCCCTGTTGAGCTGTCCAGAGGATGTTGTATCTTTTTAAGTGTTCCAATAGGAAGTCTGCCACAACTGACTCCAACTTTTGACAACACTGGTAGTAGTAACACCGGTAGTTAGCAGAACACTAGAAGCACCTTATTGGATTTTTGTTTGGTCGAATATACGTTGGAATAGACGGACTATTGATTCGGATATGTGATTCACCAAAAAGATACAAGATCTTGGGTTGTATTTTGTCCGCCCCTGGGGTTGCATTTTTTCGCAAAGCCATTAGTTTTGCCTCGACGTTTTAGCAGTAAATTTTACCTTGGTCGGCGGAGGATATGGAAAATAATGCAACCGGCGAGGGAGCAGTAGACTGTTATCTTGTGCACAGCAAAACTTAGGAACACTGGCTATTCAGCATTTCAGCTGCTTCCATTAGAGTGGCTGCAACGCCCCCA